GGCTGAGATTGGTGGGTATAAATGATCCCGATGGGCCGGATCATTACTTGATGCCAAAGAATTGAGTATCAAATGGTAAGGACATGTCATATGATTTCGTGTTGACCGCTGAACCAGGATGATTTATGACTTTAACAATCAGAGCTTCAAGCGAAAACCAGAATGGTCGTTAGCTTGGTGAATAGGCTCCTCCACGAAATCTATGAATGAAAGTTATGAATTGCCTTATGCCCCTGACATCGCAAGCAATAAGTGACAAATGAGGTGATAGAAAGGGATCGCACCCATAGCATCAAATATCACGCCTTAAGTCTGACGCTAATCCGTGCTAGATGAACTTAGGCTCTTGAAAACATCCTACTACAGAGTGTCGCATATTTATGGGCACTAATTAATGAAATTCAAAGCTCCTGAGCTGAAAACACAATGGAATCTTCATACCCGTTCGATTACATTATGTACTACACCACGCTACAATCAAATTCCAAAATATCCCCCAGGAACGCGGAGAGAGGCCCAAAGTTTGTTTTCAAATTCCTCGCCTGTTGCAGGAATCCTCCTCCATTTCTCCCCAGGCGTTCTAAAGCCTTGCTTCCTAAGTCCCCAAACTGGGATCGCGAACCCGATAGGTTCTTTTCTAATTAAAGACCATATGGATGAGTGACGTGTATTAAGATCTGAAGGGCAGTATGACCACTCCTGTTAGCCAATGAAGGCAGGCAGCTAGTGTCGGCACCAATTCCGCGCGAGCTTGGCTACGTCTATAGGTATACTCCTTAAATGCACGTCTTCGCCTATTTCCACGCCGATAACGACGAAACCAATGGCGTCTTACAGTTCCCGTGACTCCCACGATAGACATCATTTTGTTGTGTTTATAACTTTTCTTTGTGCGTTTATAACTTTTCTTTGAAAGATAGCACTTTTGTTTCTCACCCTGCACAAGATCATTTCGCTTGTTGAGCATTGCCTTTGTTGAGGAAATTCATATTTGAAAAATTGATCAGAGGATTCGTTTCCACTCTAAAGAAAGTTAGCAAGCTGTTTTGTCCAGCCCTATACCGTCTATTGAAAACGGAATTGAAGCGACATTTTGCATACGATAGAGAAGGCAACAAAGTTTCTGCACGGCAATCCGTACCATCGACAACTTCGATACTAAGTCGCACTCCCCTGCCGTCTTTTCGATGAGTCCCCAGGATCACGACTATCTTGCAAACAAAGCATCCTAATAGTCCTATCTCTGGAAATGCTGACCTTTCTATCTCTTCCTGGTTTGTCATCAAATCTTTTTCTTTGTACCTAGCCTTGTAAACGGATATTACAGGAATCCAAGAGAATTTCACAATAACCTTCCTTCCGCCTTTCGCATGCCAATAATTGCAAGTGGTATTGAGTGAGCCTACGCCAGCTAAAAGATATTTAGAGCCACTCCAGTAACTGAGCATACTGTAAGAAAACCTACTCGCGCAACTAATTAATAGCGAATGAAGTATATTTGATAGATTATGACTACCTTGGAAGTTTACAAAATTGGTGCTCATACTTTTGGGACATCCCGCATGTATCCCAAACATCGGTTTGTCACGCGCTTCGATGTCATATAAAAAAGGACCTAGAGAGGTCAGATCAAATTCGGAATGGGTTGGGCATAGAGCAAGGCCAACAGAGTACATGTTAGCTCAGCGAAACTCCGCTCTGGGAGGGCGATTCATGCACACGAGTAGGCAGTGCATAGGCAAGACCTCTTGGATTGGTCTCGTAACAGCTCTAGCGATAGGGAAAATGAGAAGAGGTGAGGGTCGGGTGAACAAATGAAATGAAGGAGATAAACTCTAGGTTGGGGGTGAGCTTCCTCGCAGTTAGTTGAACTCATAGCTTAGTTCGTCGAAGGCGAAAAAGCCAAGAAAAAATCAAGTGAGCGAGCAAGGTCTTATTTGCTAGACCTGCATTTGTTCATTCATAGTCAAACATCGTCAACACTAAATATCATTACACTATTACACTCAAGAATAAATGAAAGTTCTCAACTGCGAACCCAGATCAGTATGGACACAGACCAACCCCTATGCCGATGGCTATATCTGGTGCATGTTTTTGAGTACTTCTTCATGGTAGCAGACTATGTCAAAGCACAAATTAGACCGAAACAAAGGCCTTATGCATTGTACGGATCGCCGTCCTATACTATAATATATTATCGTTCCCCCGTGCTCACGTCGTATGGTTCCGGTACATCCTCAATGTCACAACTGCCAAGACTTCGATTATCCACTTTATGATGCTTTAGTTATTCCTATAGCAATTATGCAGTGAGTCTCCATAAGTTGAGCTCGACTTCACCGCTCACACTTCTGCCACGTACATCTGCACGCTTTGGAAGGAGGGCCTATCAACCATTTGACCTGTATTCGCTTACCCGCTCCTTTCAAAATGGAGTTGCGAGTATCGATAACCAATGAAAGTTTTGCTAGGCCCTGTGTGGAATTACGAATGCTGGAGAAATTTTGTCCCAGCCCGCCATCGCAGGGCCAAGCGATACTTTCTGCTATCTACATAAGTTCTTTCTGCTAATGTGAAAATTTCCCACCATCTCCATGGCAATGCTCAACTTCATATCACACGAAGACCAGCAGAACGTGTTGCACAAGTCGTTGTCCGCCCTCGCCTTGTTTGGTACTTTGAGATCGTTGCGGATAACGTCTCTGATTTACACTGATCATTTTAGGTGAAGGAAACCATTGCCTTGTCCATGCGTAAGCCTTATTCGCCCATGCTGGATAAATGCCTTAGATAAATATGACGGTTATATCGCTGATTTGAAACACGTTTAAGGGACAAGTTTAAGGGGCATTGCAAACCGATTCAAAGCAGGAATATGGGTGTCTCGCGAATTCGACCTAGCATACTATCAGAAACACGGAGCCTAATCCGAACTGTTGGTGAAAAAACAAACTCACCCTAAGCTGAACTCCCCAGTTCCTTGCGTCGGTTTGGATGGATCTGCTTTGCCTTGATAGACACCACTGGGGCTAATCGCTACAAAGAAGATGCCGCTTATCAACTGCACATCAAACTTCGTGGGCAGATTCTGAAAACGATGCACGTTTTCATGGCACATTTGTTTCCACTCGCCCCACAAAATCACCTTGTATTTGTCAGGAGTGCAGCCTTTATACTCGAGAGTGATAGGAACCGTCCATGCTGTGGCTTTTGTACTGGGCGCTTTTATGTGAATTGATGTCTCTTTTGTTTTTCGGTTGTCAATCATCGACTGCAAAAATCTTTACTAATCCATTATGTGGTTGAAGCACGATTTTCAGATACCCTTCAGTCTAATCAGAAAATGTGGGTGAGGTGCATACAGAATAATGTCCGACTTACTGAAATAAATTCGTTCACATAGTATTAGGACAACATAACGAAATTTTTCTTCAATTTTCAGAAATCGTTTCCACATCTGAGTTGTGCACTTTATAATTCTAAGCGCAAGGATTATGCAACGTGCCATTGGGGATTCGGCATTACGGCTTAGCTACATAGCTCATTGCAGCAAAGAATAGAAGTGTTACCAACATCCGCTCTAGAGCTTCGGCAATTAACTCTACCGAAGATGATCAACGATGCCGGTGATTCAACTTTCGAGAGGTGATAGGCAAATTCACGTCTTACCACATTCGCTTTGATGGTGTACTGATCCAGGTTTGGAAACGTAACAACCACAGAACAGGTGTCCAGTTGATTCCACATGCTAACATAAGCTTCATCTGATGCGGGAAGCGTTGGTAGAGTCTTCTGCAGAAAGTCATTTCATGCAAATGTCACTAAGGCTCCGTTCAGTATATGATGTCATGTCATTTTCTGGTAGGTAAAATCGAAAAATAGAAGAGATGACTGGGTTAGGTGTGGTGGAAGGAGGAAAGCACAAAGCTATGAGCATTGAAAAGTCTGAGAAAAGAAAACTTTTTGGCGTAAATTAGTCTCACATCTGGGATCTCCCTCGGAATATGCGAGCCGATGACAGGAGCATAGCTGGAGGATACCTTGACACCTCAAGATAGAGCGCGCCCATATAAACATGTATAAAGAGATGGGCCCCAAACAGAAATGAACATACATATGATATATATTAGAGCTTCTTCCTCTTTATTTTGGCTCGCTTGTTTTGTTTAGATATTCTTCTTTTAAATTGGTTTTTGCTGTATTGACTACTCTTCGATTGGCTTAGGAGTGAAAAACAATAAGTCCAATTTACTTCTCAGACCGTATTTATCGGACGGATGGAAAAACACGGGTCCGACTCCTCATTTTCGTATGTGCACTGCCATTACGTCACGACGACTTTTTCAGCCCTTCGGGCAACTGAGCGTTATAAATAGCACTACAATACTCCTGTAAGAACTCGAAAATCCGCGCGAATATCGCTAACTTGCGTCTTTTTCGTCTTTTCTCCATGGATCGGATCTCGGTCGGCTCTATCTCTCCATGATTTGAACAAGCAAATTCCGACCGCCCAGAACTTCTTTGGTAGACTCATTCAACAACTTCATTTCGGAATTTTTTGGGAGCATTACAAACTCGATCGATACAAATATCAGGTTCAGTCATAAGTCCTCGGGCAATGTGATAGTGATGACTTCTAGAAGTCACAGCTCGGGAAGGATGTGAAGAAAAAGGATGCGCTAGGCATCATTAGATAGAGTATAAAAAGCTCTTTCAAGTTTATACTGATGAATGCGCTTGACCCATTCCCGCGCTCGAGCGCGAGGAGAGAATGTGCCATGTCGGCGCGAAATACTGCTTCAAAGCACGAGGCATCCATTGACCGAGCTTTCGCACCTTGCCGATAGACTTCAATTCACGAATATATGTGGATTGACTTCCCAAGGGTGACTGCCAATCCACGAGTAGTTTGATACGGATCGGCTTCCACCTGGCTCCGCAGCACTTCCAAATCCAACTCCATTGAGCGTCCCGGACGGTTTTCGTTTTCGATGGAATGGTTGTCCGACGTGTACTTCGTGTGCCAATTGTGAATTGTGCATCTAGCAGGAGCACCCTTCTTGTAAACTTCTTTCATACGTCTATCGATCTCCGCAGGTTCTTGGCCAGATAAAAAAAGAAATAGGATGGTGTTGCGGAAATGGAGTTGCGACGGCTTGAAATCATGGGGCACGGTTGCAGGAAAGGAAACAGTCAGGTAAGTTCGTTAGTATGTATTTGAAAGAGCTTCTCTTACACTATCTAACGATGCTGCGCGCGTCCATATTCGTCATCTCTTTCCTGAGTTATGATCACTAGAAATCACTATCTTTTTGTCCGAGGACTTATGACTCAACCTAATACATAGGCCCTCTAGTCAAAATCCCATGGGAACTCGAACTCACTCTTTAATAAGTTCAAATCGACTACATTGTATGATACCACTACGCAAAGTTCATTACGTAGTCCTACGAAGTCTTCTCGTAAGAATGATTGGATGTTGTCGAATTTCTAACTTCTATAGGCCCTGTGCTCTCTAGTGAAACACAAAATGAGACTCACATTGACGCTGAGTTGTACCAAGCCGGTGACAAGAAAGGATAGTGAGGCGAGCAAACCACCGACAACCATCTTCCGCAAAGGTCTGGAAGGAAAACAACGTCTTTCCCCATAATGCCTTACACTGCTTCACCGCACAGATTTGCTAGAGTAACAATGCTTCGCTTGGTCGACATTTCGAACGGTCGCTGCTCAAGACCCGGGAGTAGTCTTGAACAATGGTTCAGAGCCCACTCAGTGAAAGGCTCAGCGGCGCTTGTCCAATAGCAACATCTCCCAGAAATTCGAACACAAAGAATGTCACCAAATCAACCAATAATATGCGGCTCCACTAGCGATGACGTCCCACGATAAGAATGAGCCGTGTTAACAAAGTTCACAGAAGGAAATGAACTACAGTTATCGCGGCCATGCACTCAGCAGGGTCACTCAGCTCTGCCTTTCGCGTGCTGATTCAATATAATCAACAACTTTCTAGTATCGACCTCAGTTCCGTGCATTATGATTTTGCACTCACTATCGAAAGGAGCTGGTGGAAATGCAAAGGATTATTCACGTGTTTGTGTCCGAGTTCCTAAGAGTTGTTGCATCTCTTCAAATGTCGTTGAATGCTTAAGCGAGTGAGCCGCTGATGGAGGTCGTTGACGATACCGGGTATTTTCCGCGATTACTGGTTTACTCAGCACAGATAAGCAATACAGCGATCGAATGTTACAGGTCAGAATAAGGGCATGAATACTTACGTGATAACGAAGCACTTGGATGTAAGAGGATACACGATGGTTTCGAAAAACGGGATGAATAACAGGATGAGTACGGCATTCAGTGTCTGCATTTGATCTGGTAGTAGAAGCATAGTGTCAGAGAGGCGACAGTCCATTTGGATGCCTTGAAACAGATTCGATTAAGAATCGTGGGGTCTTTGTCCACTTGGCACACAAAATCCACCTTGAATCAACCATATTGAGCCTTGTTGGTCATAAAGTGCCCAGAACATCGGCACTGGCAGAAACATGATGATAACTCGAAGGAGAGACTTGATATCGTTGATAAACGATTTCTGAAAAATTTGATGGTCGCTTCCCAACTGTTTCTTTTTTCAGTTATAATTGGTCACTATGCCTCTGCTATCTTCGGGAATCTTGGCCCCTATTTTCGAAAGCTTCTAGCGAAAGCAAAGGCCCTATAGCTAGGACTTTTGATAGTCATCGATGTACTTCTATTTAATAGTGTCGAGCAGGATTTACATAATATAATCAATTTGCTAAGCCTGTATGTGAGAATGGAAGTTTTATGTTAGATGCTGTGAATAATCCTACCGACCTTTTGGCAAACATTCTTGTTCCCGATTTCTACATGATAATCCAGACATCTGCAATACGATTCTACAAAGTGTTCAAAACAGTGGTCAAAGAATCAATGGAGACCAAATATTACTTTGGATCACTTTCACACACATGCGTGTCCAAATAGTGATCTAACCAGTGCTCCTGTTTGTCTTTTGAACGGTGTTTGTTGATAAATGCTTGCTGGAAATTTTCAGCTTCTTAAAATGATCAAGAGAAAGAAATATATTTAATTCCGATAAAAGTTCATGTAGCACACTCACTACCATGGCACGTGAGACCTCTGCGAAAATATTCTCTTTTGGCGGAGGTTTCTTGTACCAAAAAGATCCAGCCATAAAGAGACCTGAAGATCGTATTCTTTGCCGCACACGCTGTTAATACAGAATTGAAAAACCGGATGAATGTTGCGGAAAAATGGTTGAATCTATGGCAGTGATGGCAGATTAGGGCAATGGCTATTAGAGTCAATAACCCCGTAGTGGGTGTATGATGAAATCCTGCCGATGAAAACTGTCTGTTAGGAAGAGGCGAACAAAAATGACGTCCGAAGCTAGGACCGGCTATGCAGTCTCAAGCACTGATAGGATCTTTTGTCCAATGGACTGATCGAAGCAGATATTTCGTACTTTTCCGCTGCTGTTTCCTGGAAACACCATTTAAGGCACAGTTCACGATAAATTCGGTGTATGCAGATTATGAGGACTAAAGAAAGGAAGGTGGAGAATGGTAGCATAAAGGCGGAGAAAGCACGAGAACAAGTGATTCCAAGAAAAAAAGTGCTTCAAAAATGACGTTGACAACAGGGCTAAACGAGAACGAGACAAATAGAAGGTAGAAGGGGTGCCCTGACAAGCTATCCAATTGCGTGAAGCTGGCTGCAGTAAGCAAAAAACTCTTCCGAAATTCATTCATTCAGCTAATACGCTCAAAATCACTAGCATAATAACAACACGACCAACAGCAGAAACAATTCACCTTGTAACCTTAGCAGCAAGCAGAATAACAGAGAATAACAAAATAAGAGCAAAACATCCCCTCACCACCCGGTGGTTAGACTATCGTCGTCTCACCGTCTGAGA